CCCGATAACACCTAGAATCGCTTCCGGATAATTGGGTGTTATCAAGGCCACTACGTCACCCTTTCTTAAACCCATATTTATCAAACTTCTGGCAATATAATTAGTTGCGTCCCTTGCTTCGCTGTACGTATATTTCCTTCCGGTCACCGCGCATTCCTAAAATGGTAACATCGATTGTATTAGAAGAACTGCAATATGCAGGTAATATATTTGATCTTACGTAAGTAACTGCAGATTATCTTGATTTATGTAGTCAATTAATATGACTTTTGTATAATACTATCAATGACCACGTAATGTACCATTAGTAAATGATTATTGAAATGATTATCATCGACATAATTGCTTCTTAATCAGATTTGCTAATGTTCTTCCTACCAACGACTGATTATAAATAGCAATACGAAAAAAATTCCAATTTTTTTTTTTTTTTTTATCATACTTTACCACTCCTTCTAGCAAGAAAAGGAAGAAGAATTTACGCTTTATTTATTTATAAAATTACCAGCGCAATCTTATCGGCGTAAATTTCACTGTTCTTCCAGATGAACTCATGAGTGAGCATCTCCGTGGGCGTGAATTCGCCGTACGGTGACAGGAAAATTTTTTTCCCATTTTCATCCTCAATGATTTTCTGTCGTGCCTGGGTCGACGCGTATCTCACAGACCGGTTTGCAACTTTCATCCCACTCTCCGATATCTGGCTGAGTCTTCGCGCGTAACGAAGAATTTGCCTGATGCTCGTCATTATATTTTGTACGTCTCGGCAATTTATCAACAATAACTCATTAGCAAGGTGTTAAACGATCACACAGAACCGCGTAAAACTCTGGAAAAGAAAAAGAGGGAGAGCACGACGATGAGATTTGTATTGCATAAAAGTGAAAAGTTTTCTAGCCGTGGAAGAGCAACGCAACGTATAACGCGATCCGATCCGATAAAGAGAATGAAAACCTTTGAACAGAGATATGAAACCGACGACGATACAAACCACGTCAAATTTATCCCGAATAAAATCTTACGATTGTAAGTTACGACTACGGAAGTTGATTGAAATTGAACATTAACCGGACAATACAATCCTTTCCCCGATAATTTATCGCTATTGATATAACAAATATTTTACGAATTGCTTTCACGATAAAAGAGATCAATCGGTCAGTATCGAATCATGCGTTAATAATTATGCCAAGGACTGCTGGATCCGTATCGGTGAACACCGAAAAACAAAACGAGTTGCACCGCGACACGCAAATCAAATGAAAATGCTTATCTTGATGAATGCCTATTTGCATCAAATTAGAAAAAAAAAACAAACATAATCGATAGTGCGACAAATTACTGGTGAATAATAAACGATGGTTCAAAGTACAAGGCAGTTATCGATATCAACACACCTCGGTTAAGTTATCTCAGTTCTACATAAATACATACGTCAGCTTCTTCGTTTATTATCGCGGCGTACGTGTATAGTCAAGCGTATGACTTGCAATTGTTAGAAATCGGCATTGAATTGAACGTTGTTTTCCACGTTTGTTTTGATGATGGTGGGATAACTGAAAACCTCATTATCACGATCATGT